TAATAATAATAATAATAATAATAATAATAATAATAATATGAAGCATATTACCACATTAGCTCAATACAGTAAAAGCCCTGTCTGAGGTTGGGAACAGTATGATTGACGCTATTTGAGGCTGAAGTGTGTCTTATAGATAAGTATAATGCAGGGATCTAAAAGGGAACATGGATAAATATCTAGCGTCAAAATTAAACACTATACCTGAAGTCTTCTTTGCAACAGTTCAGCCTCAATATACTGTCACGTGTAGGGGTGACACATAGACGGGTTTAGTATTGGATGATTAGGTTTATTGCACTCTATACATTCACACAGCGCTCAGAACTACTGGTAAGTATAGTGCTAGTGGTATTCTTCACATGCTGTGTTGTCCACTGAAAGTCAACCAACATTTTGGAGGAACAAAACACCTCCTTCCTCCGTGCTGAAGAACAAGCCATGCAAGAGACCAGCGTGAAGCAGGTAGCAATGCAGAGCCTCCAATCCTACACTGTCTACGCAGTTTGTGACAAAGGAGGGTCTTTTCCAAATTATCATCTCATTCCTATGAGACTTCGATTTTGTTCTCATAGAGTATGCACAACTTCTTCTATCTAGTCATAATTTGCTTCATTTGTGTTAGTCACTTCTTCATTTGTATTTCTTACTATATTTTGTGATTTTCTCTTCGTTTAATAATAATACACTGGTTTTGCATTCTGAAATTCTTACACTTTGGTTTATTTGTGCTGCACTGTTTATTGACTATCTGTCCTATGTGACTCATGGCATGCAGCAAGTAGCAGAAAAGCACCAAAACGTGACTGGTACTATTGAATTCTCCCTGACACTACTCTGTACTGACAGCATGTTCCAACCATGAACTGGTCACAATGATGTTTACTGTGCTGGTCTTCAGTATTTAAAAAGGAAGAACTACATATCTATTTGGAGGACTCAGACTTTCTGTGCCAAGATGTCAACTAAAAGTGATAAGATCTGCAAGTATGTACTGAAGAAATTAATGAAGAAAATACAGGGAGGAAAATATATTTATGCTGCTTTCTCTTGAGGAGGTCTTGGGGGCACAGCATGAATACAATTGAAAATTTAGAGTCAGTTTTTCCTTCCATACATTTAAACTTTAAGATTAAAAACGTAAAATCAGTTACACACTTCAGGCATATAAACACGGGAAATAAAACTGTGAGGTACAGGAACTTAATACAGAAGGGAAAAAATATATATCATAAGAAGGTCTGAATACATTTCTTCTCTAAAACATAAAACAAGGAACTGTCAAAAGTTTACTTCTAATTCACTGAGAACTTACCTAAGATCACTGAATGATTTCTCCAATGGTATGAATCCTTGGAGATCTCTGTCCTCTGGAAGAGGCAAGTAGCTACCTGAAATATGTAAAACACTTCTTTCAAAATTGTAATTACACTGGCAGAGCATTTTCAGCATCAGCTAGAAGTTTTGGAGTCTGGTCACTGGTACACCCATTGCAGCCTCATTCTTCACTGATTCACGGGGTTCATAGTAGTTTCGGAAGTCTTCCTCTATGAATTCTGCCAACATACAGAATCTGGCTCATTTTATATTTTGAAATTTTGTTCAACAAGAGTTCTGTTTTTAATTCTTCTAGTATGTCCTCATTTCTTCTATGATCTAACAAGTCTCATTCCCTGTTTGCCCGAAACCTTCAGTTAAATAAATAATCCATTTGCTTTTGTTTCCATGATCCAGCATTCACTCATGCCTGATGCCCTCATATATATGTGAGTGAAAGCATTTTACCACGTCCATGTTTAAAATTACTGGGACAGCTCAACTGATATGGCAATATGCCACCAGATTCAAGGCCAAGGAATTTGGCTTCAATTCCCGTCAGGAGCAAGATATTCTTCCCTTCCCCACGGTATCCAGGCCAATTCTGGAGCCCACCCAGCTTCCTATCTGATGGTTATCAGGGGCTGAGACTAACCACTCGCCTACATCTGGTGTCAAGGTCAAGAATTCATGGAGCTATATATCCACCCCCCCCCCATATATCTCCTTGGCATAGTGCTTCATTTATTAAGCTATAAAATATAAACACTTACATAAGAACTTAGACCAAGGAACAAAGGAAGACCCACGAAAAGAGTACTGGATGAAAGACAGTGCAACGTGACAGCAACTATGACACACAGCGATGATGATGACTTTGTTACTTACATTTGTCAGCAGTGAAATCAGTCAGAGACTGCTGGAGTCCATTAAGCAGTTTACAAAGACTGGGCCAGATCTGAAGTCGACTTGTAAATGCTGAATCTAGCAGAACACTGGGGTCAAGTCGAATCCAGTCCAATGTTAGTTTAACTGAAAAAGATAGTAACAGCAATTCTGTCTAATTAAAAAAAATATATATAACACATAGGCCAAATAAACTTTTTAACTGCAATGACTTTTAATGGTCAGATTCAAACTGAAAAAACAAGAAGCTCAAAAAATGACAAGAGGGGTAACTAGCAAGGTAAAGCTGTCCCTCTTACAGGCTGTGGAGGCCCATAGAGTTGTGAGACGTTGAGGCTCTCACATTTTCTAGACAGTCAGCTCAGAGATGGCGGTAAGGCTATCAGCCTTATGTGCCAGCCACCCTTTACCTCCCTTGAAGATTCCTGGTACTCATTTCTGTCAGAGACTGAGTCAACCAGAAGGCCATAGTGCAGCTGGAAGGATTAGGTAAATTGAAAAAAAAAAATCCACCTCATCGGGACTCAAACCCACGACCTTCCAGCTTGTAGTACAGTACCTCAACCAACTATGCTACCGCGTGCCCCCAGCCTAACTGGCAAACTGAAACTAATTTTAGGTTTTTATGATTGGTTTAGTGTTGATACTGCTCCTATTCTTGGGTCTTCACACCATGCAGAAGTGGCTAGAACTGCTGATGCTTCACAGAAACCTACCGACTTCATCTTCATGTTGAAATAATTTGGACAGGTGAGTGTCTGGTCACATTTGCCTGTTCTCCGCTGCTAACAGTCCAGACCAGGCACTAACCCCCAGCCTCATGGTTCTGGTGGAATGCCAACCCACATAACATGTGCACTCAAAATGAACAAGTTCATCTTGCAGTAGTGCTCTACACTTGTATTTGGCTTGGCCACAGACTATTCTGATTGAGGCTTACTGTGGTTTACTCAGTTCCTCCCAGTAAATGCTGAGAAGATAGTACCTCAATTAGGCAGTGACTGTTCCTTTCTAAAACATTTCCAGTTCAAGATTCATCCATCTTCCTATTATTTGACACTGGTAGCATTGCAAAATATACCACAAAGAACTACTCACTACAACCATGAAGTATCAAATGGTTTCACATTCTCACGTGCAGCATGTCTTTCTGTAAGTTATTCACTGACCTATATGTCATCATCAGGTGTTTTAAAAATATAAATTATAAATAAGGAACCTGCTGTGCTTCCATATCACGGTTTTTGGTCATTACTATGCAGTACCTTCTATGCACATGTAAGTATCTTCTATTAGAATTTTGTTTATTATGTGTGTTAGTGTATGGACATGAGATTCGGTACGTGGAACGTCAGAAGTATATATAGGGCAGGTATGCTCAGGCAGTGGCAGAACAAATCTTAAAATATAAGTTAGATTTAGCGGGAGAGCAGGTCAGATGGGACGGAGGTGTCATCGAACCAGCAGGCGAATATACAATTTTATATGGAAAGGGGAATGAAATTCATGAATTAGGTACAGGGTTTTTGTACATAAGAGAATTGTATCAGCAGTTAAGAGGGTAGAGTTCATTCGTGATAGGATGTCATATACCGGGTGCTCCTAAAAGAATGGTGGGGTTTCATTGCCCTATATCTCTGTCAGTTTTTGGTGATGAAAAGCAAAACATATACGGACTCATAACGCGGCTCTCAAATTTTCATTTTGTATATCGCGCTCTTTCCTAGTTCCATTTTTGACAGTTAGGAGGCGTGAAATGTAAGATGGTGACCCAGCAGGAGAAGGCCTATTGCGTGCTGAGATTTGAGGTGTCTAAATCCATCATTACAGTGCGCCATGAATTTCGTGTACATTTTCAGAAGGAGGCGCCACATGGAGACAACATTCGCAGATGGTACCTGCAGTTTGTGGACAGTGGATGGCTGTAAAGGCAAGAGTTCTGGGCGGCCACGTGTGCCACATGCAGATGTGGAAAGAGTGAGGGAGATGTATCAGAGAAGCCAAAGAAAATCGTTACAACTGGCCAATGATTCCAATGACTACATTTTCCAACAGGACGGTGTTCCCCCCACATTTCCATAGCATTGTGAGAGGTTTGCTTAATCTGGTCCTTCCGCAACGATGGATTGGATGTGCTGCAGGTGAAGATGGCCCCCTTCTCCGGTGGCCACCCTAATCCCCGGACATAACTCCATGTGATTTCTTCTTGTGGGGGTACATGAAGGACATGGTTTATGTAACCCCATTGCCCCAGTCGCTCCAAGATCTCCAAAACAGAATCAATCGTTCTGTGGAGACCATCACACCTGAAATGTTGCAGCGGGTGCGGCAGGAATTCAACTATCGCATTGATGTGTGCCGGGTAACGAAAGGTGCATACACAGAGGCACTTTGATGGATGTACATAAAATTTGGACAGTTAAGCTTCAGATTGACACATGTTATGATTTTACGCGGTAAGAAATACGAAATATATACGTATCTAAAACCCCACCATTCTTTTAGGAACACTCTGTATAATACTAAGAGGTCACTGGTGTGATACCGTCATCCTGAATTTTCATGCACCAACAGAAGATAAAATTGATGATACAAAGGACAGGTTCTATGAAGAACTAGAACATGTATTTGATAAATTCCCGAATACCCTACGAAAATTTTGTTAGGAGATTTCAGTGTCAAAGTAGGGAGGGAAGAAATTTTCAAACCAACAATTGGGAATGAGAGTTTGCATGAAATTAGTAATCATAATGGAGTTAGAGTAGTAAACTTTGCCATATTCAAAAATCTTACTGTCAAAAGTACAATGCTCCCACATCGTAACATTCATAAATTTACTTGGACATCTCCTGATGGGAAGATACACAATCAGAGCGACCATATTTTGATAGATAGGAGACGGCACTCAAGTATACTTGATGTCCGATCATTCAGGGCAGGAGACTGTGATACTGACCACTACCTGGTGGAGGCCAAGGTTAGGGAAAGACTGGCAGTGAGCAAACAAACAACACACAGAGTTCATATGGAGAGGTTCAATCTCAAGAAATTAAATGAGGTAGAGGGTAAGGAGTAGTATTGTGTTGAAACTTCAAATAGGTTCGTGGCCATGAAAAACTTAAAACACTGAGGTGGATGTTAATAAAACTTGGGACACTATTAGAGATAATATAAAAATGTCAACCAAAGAGAATCTAGGTTATTATGAACTGAAGAAGCACAAGCCATGGTTTGACAAAGGATGCTTAGAATTATTAGACCACAGGAAACAAGCCAAACTGCAGTGGTTACAGGATCCAACCAAAGTAAATGGGGATAATCTGAACAATATAAGATGTGAAACCAGCAGGCATTTCAGGAATAAAAAGAGGGAATATCTAAAGACAAAGTGATGAGCTTACAATGAACAGTAAGAACAAAAGCATTAGAGACATGTATACAGGAATAAATGACTTTAAGAGGGGTTAGCAACCTGCCAGTAACTTCGTGAAGGTCTAAGAACGGTGATCTGCTTGCAGATTCCCACAACATTTTGAATAGGTGGAGGAACTACTTCTCTTAGTTATTGAATGTACATAGGGTCAGTGCTGTTATCATCATCATCAGTAATCTGTCAGACGACAGGTCCACAGTCACAGTCACAGTGCTGTTAGGCAGACAGATATCCATACAGCTGAGACGTTAATACCTGATCCTAGCCCATTTGAGGTAGAAAGTGCTATTGCAAAATTGAAACGGTATAAATCGCTAGGTAGTGATCAAATTCTGGCAGAACTTATTCGAGCAGGAGGCAAAATATTACGTTCTAAGATCCACAATCTAATTACTTCTATCTGGCATAAGGAAAAATTGCCTGATCAGTGGAAGGGGTCTATTATCGTACCAGTTCACAAGAAGGGTGATAAAACTGACTGTAGTCATTACAGTTCACAAGAAGGGTGATAAAACTGACTGTAGTAATTATCGTGGGATATCACTGCTATCAACTTCATATAAAATTTTGTCCGATATTCTTCTTTCAAGGTTAAGTCCATATACAGGGTGATTCACGAAGTTTTACCTCAGCTTATGGTACACATTTCTGGTGTTATTTCCTGAAAAATTTCCTTATAAACTTGTGGTCGATTTTCAATAGTTGTGGAGTAACAATAGATTTTTGAAACGCATCACTGTGAATGCAGCGCTATGCTTCAGCGTGGGCGACCATATGTTCCAGTCAGCTATGTCAGCAGATAAGGTAGACCGGTTTGAATGTTGCGCGTAGGTAGATAGGCAGAGCGGTTCATAAGCGTGTGACGCATTGTGTTGACGTGCAGGGAGACAGTTTCGAAAATCTTATGTAAATCCAGTTGTCTTCTAAAGCACTACAGTTTAAAGGAAACAGATTGATAGAAGGGTGTGATATGCAACCATTGGTATGTTTACAGAATGGGATGCTGAAAATAATGTAATTTTGTAACACAAAATCGATGAAAAATGTTGCACAATGCAAAATTAAGAAACTGGGGGAAAAAAAAGGTTTTAGAATGCTTCTTTCCTAAAACATTAATGATTTGAAAAGTGTTTGCATTGTATTTCTAATTTGTTTTGACTGAAATTCAAAGAAAAAATATTTTTCGCCAGTTTTCAAATTACTGTATCTCTTTAATTATGAGTTGGATACCATTAGTATATTAACATTTTTTGTTCCAAATTACCTCAGGAATGCCATCCCTAAGTGGGGGTAAAACTTCGTGAATCACCCTGTACAGATGAAATTATTGGGGATCATCAGTGTGGGTTTCGATGTAACAGATCAACTACAGATCAGAACTTTTGCATTCATCAGATATTGGAGAAAAAATGGGAGTATGATGAGACAGTACATCAGCTATTCATAGACTCCAAGAGAGCCTATGATTCAGTTAGGAGGGAAGTGTTGTACAATATTCTGATAGAGTTTGGGATACCCATGAAACTAGTTAGGTTGATTAAAATGTGTTTAAATGAAACGTATAGTAAAATCCGTGCAGGTAAACATTTGTCTGATAAATTTCCTATTCAGAATGGTCTAAAATAAGGAGATGCTCTATCAGCTGTTGGTCTATGCCGATGATGTGGATCTACTAGGTGATAATGTAGATACCATAAAGAAAAACACAAAAACTTTGATTGATGTAAGTAAAGAGGTTGGTCTAGAAGTAAACACAGAGAAAACTAAGTATATGTTACTGTCTCATCACCAAAATGCAGGGCAAAATCATGACATAAAGATAGGAAACAGATGTTTTGAAAATGTGGCACAGTTCAGATATTTGGGAATAACGATAACAGATTGAAAACTGATTTAGGAGGAAATTAAGAGGCGATTGAACTTGGTTAATGACTGCTTCCATTCAGTCCAGAACCTTTTGTCTTCTCGTCTGTTGTCCAAAAACATAAAAATTAGAACATACAAAAAATTATAATTCTGCCTGTGGTTCTGTATGGATGTGATACTTGGTCTCTGACATTAACCCTTTTGCGCGGTCATTTAAATTCCGCGGCCGTCTCTCCGGTGGTAATATATTCAGCCGGCCATTTAAATTTTGCTCGAAAATGATTTATTCATCATTGTTCTTAAATTCTATGAGATAGGAACATGAAACTTTCACTAAAATGATCTTAAAAGGTGGTTTTATAACCTTACCTTATAATATGAGCGCCCTTTATCTCGGCAATGGAAGCAGTTTGTTTAGAATTTGAGCAGTGAATGGTACGCCTTGAAGCATGAAACTTTCACTAAAATGATCTTAAAAGATGGTTTTATAACCTTGCCTTATAATATGAGCGCCCTGTATCTCGGGAACGGAA